TAAAAAATACTGGGGCTTCCCTGGTGGCGCAGTGGTTGAGAGTCTGCCTGCCGATGCAGGGGACGCGGGTTCGTGCCCCGGTCCGGGAAGATGCCACGTGCCGCGGAGCGGCTGGGCCCGTGAACCATGGCCGCTGGGCCTGCGCGTCCGGAGCCTGTGCTCCACAACGGGAGAGGCCACGGCAGTGAGAGGCCCGTGTACCGCAAAAAAAAAAAAAAAAAGAAAAAACAAAACTTATCTTTGGACTTCCCTGGTGGTCCAGTGGCTAAGATTCCTCGCTCCAGGCCTGGGTTCCATCCCTGGTCAGGGAACTAGATCCCACATGCCGCAACTAAAGATCCCGCATGCCGCAACGCCCACGTGCCGCAAGTAGGACCCGGTGCAGCCAAATAAATAAATAAATATTAGGAAAAAAATACTAATCTTCTTGAGCTGCTGTTGTAGCCTAAAAACGATGCATGTGAAGGGTTTTTTTTGGAAGTATTGTTGATTTACAGGATTATATTAGTTTCAAGTGTACAACATAGTGATTCAATATTTTTATAACTAAGGGTGTGGTTTTGAAGTGTTTTTTGTTTTTGTTTTGTTTTTGGCTGCATCACACAGCATGTGGGATCCTAGTTCCTGACCAGGGACTGAACCCGTGCCCCCTGCAGTAGAAGCGTGGAGTCTTAACCACTGGACCGCCAGGGAAGTCCCTTTTTTTGTGTGTGAAGATGGTTCTTTTAAGTTTATTTTGGGATATTTGCCAATTCTATTGTTGAGTAATGAAGAGGAATTATAGAGAGAGCAATGTAAATGGTTAGATTCAGGCTCAAGTTCAGGTTTTAACTTGCTGTGTAACCTGAGTTAAGTAATTTTACCTCTTTGGGCCTCAGTTTATCTATGACCTAAATTTTCTCTGATGTTCTTTTTTTAGCTCTGTAATCATGTGACTTTTAAGAGAAAAGAGATAGATCTCATTTTGTAATATTTGAAAAAACCTAATACACTTGAGTTATTACAAAATTAAGTAACTCATGCAACTTAATAATGGTTCCTTGTAGGGAAAAACAAATAGATTTAAATGACAAAAATAAGTTCTGAATAGGTTGGACCACAACGCAATGTGTCTTAGTTTCTCAACTTGTCATTCATTCAACTGGATCTAGTTGTATGCATTTTGCCCTAAATAATAAGATAATGGAGGGCTTCCCTGGTGGCGCAGTGGTTGAGAGTCTGCCTGCCGATGCAGGGGACACGTGTTCGTGCCCCGGTCTGGGAAGATCCCACATGCCGCGGAGCGGATAGGCCCGTGAGCCATGGCCGCTAGGCCTGCGCGTCCGGAGCCTGTGCTCCGCAAAGGGAGAGGTCACATCAGTGAGAGGCCCGCATACTGCAAAAAAAAAATAGGATAATGGGAATGGCTCTCGACCTCCACTTTTTCTGCTAGTAATTTCTGATTATTTTCTCCATCAAAGTTCATTTCACCTAAGCCTTGAGCTGAGATGGATAAATCGCTAGGTATAGGATTTAGAACAGATGGTCACAACTAATTGATGTTACCAATCTACTCTGTTCAAACAAGTATAGATCTTCATGGTGTAGTATCAGTTGGATATTTGGAGTTAATGTTAGTTCTGGTCACTTCCATTAACCCCCATTTAGCTGGAATGAGCTTTGGCTTTATTATTAACTCATTTTACAGAACACTAAACATAGACCTTCGATGTTTGCTTAGGTTGCCAAGTGCGATGTTGTGTGGTTTCATGAGTATCCCATACAGTGAAAACGCCTGTCCATGGGGCTTTAAAAAATGGACCTCTCACCAGTGTGGATATTCAGTAGACCTAAGACTCTGATCCTGATTTTATTTTATTGAGGGAAACATATGGATCACACAGGTAATAAAATGATTTAAAATATATAATTATATCTTTTTTATTTTTTCGCCACACGGCACATGGGATCATAGTTCCCCAACCAGGGATCGAACCCGCATCCTCTGCACTGGAAGCACGGAGTCTTAACCGCTTAACGGCCAGGGAATTCCCCTATAATTATATCTTAATATATCATGGCCATTTTACTAAATTGTGAGCAATCAACCTGGGAAAATGTTGATGCTTTTTAAAAATGTTATTCGGCTATTCAAGGGGAGAGGCATAACCTGTAATTGAAATGGAAGACACTTTAAGAAATATAGGGCTACCCTTGTGTGCATTGCTGATGGGAATGTAAAATGGTAAAAAATAGTTTGGCTGCAGAAAATGGTTTGGTGGTTCCTCAAAAAATTAAACAGTTGTCATATGACCCAGCAATTCTACTACCAGGTATATACTCAAATGAATTGAATGCAGGGACTCAAATAGATACCTGTATACCCATGTTCATAGCAGTATTATTCACAATAGTCAAAAGGGAGAAATGACCCAAAAGTGTATCAACAGAAGAATGGGTAACAAAATGTTGTTATTCAGCCTTAAAAAAGAATGAAATTCTTAATACATCTTACAACATGGATGAACCTTGTAAACATTATGCTAAGTGAAACAAGCCAGACGTAAAAGAACAAACATTGTGTGATACTACTTATATGAGGTACCGAGAGCAGGCAAATTTATAGACTCGGAAAGTAGAACAGAAGTTCACACGGGAGCGGGAAGTTACTGTTTAATGAGTACAGAGTTTCTGTTTGGAATGATGAAAAAGTTCTGGAAATGTAAAGTGGTGATACTTGCACAACATTGTGGATATACTTAATGCTACTAAATTGTACACTTTAAAATGGTTAAAATGGAAAATTTTATGTTATGTATGTTTTACCACACACACACAAATCTCCAAAGAGAAAGAAATGTAGGGTTAAAAGGTTTAGCACTCATTTTCAAATCTTGTATTTGGTCCTGTTTTCCTACCCATTCATTTCACGGTTGCTTCATTCCCCACAGAGAGCTTCTTAGCGTGGGCTCGGTGTGCTTAAAGTTGCCGTGGTGGACGTGGTTAGGTCAAAATCCACTGGTTTTGCTTGCTGCTTACATTTGTTAAAAATTTTGAAAGTGGGTGGGTGAGGGAGAGGTAGTTTAAAGCGGGGAAACAATGCATGTTGGACTTCCCATTCCAACAAGAAAAGCGTGCTTTTGTGGCAGACTGAAAGGCTAGGAATCAAGGGTGATGAAATACAGGCTTTCCGGCCCTCTCTCTGTTCCCGATTTCTGGTTGTGGGAATCTGTTCTGAATCCAACTGCAAGTGGAAAACCAATCTTTGGCTGAGCAGCCAGTGAGGCCCTCCTGCCAATCCCCCAAATGTGCTGCTGAAACTTTGGCCCTGTGAAGATGGAGCTGAGGCTGTCTTCCCAAGATCTGTGCAGCTGTCAAGGTGGCTGTGATGGGACTGTGACTGGCCTCTGCACTGCATTTTGGCAGTGACCTTGAGACCTGCCAGCTCAAACAGCTGTCCTGGTTCTTCGTCTACTGCCCCTGTTCCATGTCCAGGAAGCTGAAGGGAGGGGCTCAACTCCTCTGGCTCTGTCATTCCCAGGGTCTGGCAAGTTCTAACTGTGGTGCCCAGCTCTCCCAGTGCTTACCACCCACTGGGCATGGGGGCAGTCCAGGTGTGTTGAGTGTGGCTGGTTGCTTGTTCCACCTCTGGCTCGGCTCCCAATCCCTGGGAAGTAAGTGGCTGTGTCTGTCCATCAGCCCGTGCACAGACAGGCTCCACGTGGGGACTTGCTTGGCAGCTCTGCGGAGAGATGCTCAGTGACAGTTGATGATCCTGGGAGGCAGAGGAGCCAGAGGTGCTTCTTCTGTCCCAAAGTTATGAATCCGCCTTCTGGAAGGGATGGATTTCTTTGGGAAATGAAGGTCATCAGAAATGTCCAGAGCAAGAGAGAGAAATCTTTTTGAAACCTCCAGCCACTCAGAGTGGCAAGTGCATTTTGAAAACTCCTCCACCTCTCCTTGCCCTCATCCTGTCCTTTCCCTTTTAAGTGGCTTTATTATTATTTTTTAATCCGCCTTTATCATTGGACATTTATTGACAGAAATCAAATTGCTGTGTTTCTGGGCAAAGCGCCTGCTGCAGAGAGGTGTGGTTCCCGAGGAATGAGACACGCAGCCCAACAGCTGAGCCTACACTGTCCTCACATAACCTCCCTGCCTTAAATATCGCCAATATTTAGCCTTGCCTTATAAAGTAAAAATGCACAATACCTTCCAGAGTTTCAGCAAGCCCAAATGCCCCCATCAGCTCAGTTATATCTCCTGTACGTTAAAGATAGGACCGCGCACCCCTCCCCCCGCGCAGACCTGCCCTCGGAGCCGCCAAGAGGTTACTAATCAGGGAGAATCCGCCATCGATCCGATGGTGGAGACCTGGGGGATTTGTGTGCATTGTTTTTGCTGAAGCCTCCTGTGATTTCGGCGCGACCAGATCCTCTGCAGCGAACTCCATGTCGCAGCTTGTGGCTGCCTGTGTCCTGTGGTGAGAGCGGAGCCGCACAGGAGATCCTTTGTCTAGGAAGGCTAGGCAGAGAAGATCACTTTGGAGTTGCTAAGCTCTGCATTGCCATTGGCTGCACTCTTTGTGGGGCTGTTTTTGCAAAAGGCATGCCCAGCACGTCTACAGTGCTGGCAGGCCAGGGCTGCCTTTAAACACCATGATAATAATACCAAAAAGCAGTTTGCAGAACTGTTCAACTGTAGAGGCTTCCTCTGCAGAAGCAAGCAAGATGGCTACCTCGTGGGCTTCGCTGTGAAGAATGCAGAGGCTAATTAAGACAGACTTTAAGGGGAAAAAAGGGTATTTCCCTACTTCATCTTTATGCAAGGCTTTTTTTCAGTGACTTTTGAAGTGTACATTTTACATAAGCTCTTTAGGTTCTGTCTAGCAAACATGTTGATGATTTTAGATGGTATAAGTAGTTTTATAGAGAATAGCCAAAAATTTTTTGGGGGGGGAGGTGGGAGCTAATTTTTTTTCTCTTATATGGAGGCTCATTTTGCAATTTGATTTTTTTTAGGTTATAAAGGAAAACAAGAGGCCCCAGAGGGAAAAGAAGCCCAAAGTTTTAAAGGTAATCAGCTATTGATTAACTCATATTTAATATTTTTCCATTTCATATAGTATTTTTCTGTCACTTAGGGGTAAATTTGGAGTACAGTAGATGTAAATTCTCCCAGATTTTCAGTAGATAAATGAATTTTCACTCAACTAAAGTGTTTTCTCTCTCTTTCTGTCTCTCTCTCTCTTTTTTTTTTTGATACGTTGCATAATATGCATATTAGCATCCTTTATTTTCAACTCCACACGAGTCTGCAGACAGAAAACTTTATATGCAAGTGTTGTGAATAAAATTTGTGGCTTTTTTTTGTAGCTCCATTTGTAGCATCTGCATTTGTGGTGTTGCACCAGTGTGTAAACTTCAGCTCTTAAGGAGAAAGACACTATTTAAAGTTGACAGCTATGATCCATTGTGATTTTAATGGACCTTCCATTAGAGACTATTTTAAAATGTGTGATTTTTCCAAAGGAAAAGGTGCTTAGAGGTTCTAGTTCAGCTTAAAATGTGTAAGCCATTGAGGTTTTACAGCCAAATTACAATTGCTTAATCCCAAATTCTCATTATATCATCTTTAATTTGGGCATTCATGGAGCTGTAGGATTGTGTATGCTTTCTTTATTTTCAGTAGTTTGCCTAATGAGTATTTAGTAGTTACCTAATTCAGTGATAAGCTAGCAGTCTGTGTTATGAGCTTTGTATAGTATTTAAAATGGTTAATTTAAAAGCATATGACATTACTAAAAGTTCAAGACTAGCTTTAGCAAATAGGTGCTTATGTGTTAAAGGTTTCAAGTGGTATATTGCTATTATGAATGTAACTATCCTGAGCAGTCAAGCTTTTTAATTCAAGAAGACATATTAAACAATAAAACGACTGGTCTTTAAAATTATATTGTGTATATATAATTGAAAATATCTTACCTTAATCTTAGCTTTTCTTCTGCAAATAAAGTTTTGGCACTCATAGAGGAACAACATGTTTGAACTATGGCTATAGCACATTTTAAAATCTCATTTGTTTCCCCAGTTGTGTACCTTGAAAATGCTATTGACATGCAGAACCAAACCTTGCATTGCTTTCTAATTTGTCTGACCACTTCAAGTTTCTGTTTCCTGTGTGTACACAGCATTGCCATGTATATTTTTCATCAACCAACAAGTATTTATTTAATATTTACCACACAGTCATCAATGTGCCAGGCACTGTGAAATGAATGAGATTGCTTGGCACAAATTCTCACTGGGCCTGGACAAATAGAATACTGGTTATTTTCAAGGTAAATTAAACCCTTCTCTGTTTTTCTCCTGCATATTGATCCACCTGCCCCCTTTTAATCCTTTCCCCTCCCCCAATTATAGAAGAATATCATTAAAATCCCTAAGTATATTTCTCAATCTCTTTTTACACTTCCTGTGTTGGGTGTATCCATCTCAGGTGTTTTGTCTTAAAATCTTCAAGTGAGAAATAGTTTCAGTCCTGCTGTTATAAATGGCTCTCAAATTTGTGTGTGTGGGGGGGGGGTGGCGTGGGGTGGGAAAGCAGCATGGAAGAAAGGGATGGAGACTGCATGGACAAACTAACATGGACTAATCTTGGTAGCTAAATCATCACCTGCCTTTCCTACAAGGTAGAATTGGACTTTGGGAATACTATTTAATTCTATGTTTATTTTGTTAGTCTGTGGGTGTCCTGTCACCTGAAATAAATTTCAGAAGTAAATATACTGTGTATTGCTTTTTTGAATCACGGCAATGGACCCTGACTTTTAAAAAGAAATAAGTGCCTGTGGATGGCTGAAATTCATGTGCCACAGCAAGCAGAACCAAACTGTTGCTCACTTCCTCTATAGTTATCAGTTGTTGTACAACAGTAGAAAAATGCTCTAAAAGGAAAAAAATTATTTTTTTTTCTGATGTTGGCATTTTTAAATGTTTTCTTTAATTTTCTGTTGGGCATAATTTTTTTTTTTGTTCCTTTTCAAAGAAAGCTTTGTTTCTCTGCTCCACAGGAGAAATGCTAAAATACTTTCAGATTTTAGCTTGATATGTGTAAAATATAGTTAGAGCAAGTGTAGAATATTATATAGCCCCGAAGGAGATGTTAAGAAAACTAAATCCAACTTTTGGGAGGGAGGGTGGAGGAAAAGTAAAGCTTTCCATTTAGGATTTTATGGGTGAGAACTTAACATTCCAGCTGGCTGCTACCCAGGGGATCAGTCACGGGAATCTACAGGTTACACCTTGGTTTCCTTTCATAATTCTTTCTTTGGTTTTGGCATTGTGCCAGACTTCTACTCTTCTTCCTTTGACTCTGGCCTCTTAAGTCTTCACATCTCCTGCGTCCCTTGCTCTTTGTCAGGGTGGCTGCTACATATAGGTATCCTGACTCATTTTCATCTTCATCTATTGGAAGGTAGTTGGATAAATGAAGAGTCTGACTAAGGAAATTGGGAATAGAATTGAAGCTTGTCTCATCCTACTCTGAACCTGCTAACTAAATACTGAATCCAGTTGTGGGGCTGAAATTGCCTGGTGTGTCTCACACCTCTCATCTTTAAACAATCTGTTATCTATATCAAACAATCTATTATCTATATCAAAAACGTGTATGCATTCTATTACAATTCGAAGTTTAAAACTATACATAGTGATCTCAAATCCCAGACTACAGAGAGCATTTTCCTCGAGCTGAAATGACGGTTTCTGTCCAAAGCACTCTAATGGCCAGAATGGGCACCAAATCATGGGGGTGAGGGTGGGGGTGCTCAGCACAAACTCCTGCCCCCACTGGGGCTGAAGGACCAGGTTCCTGCTCAGGCGCTCTTGTTGATCACTGGAGTTGATCTGTCTTCATAGATGGCAGCATGTTAGCTGTGCTATAATTGTTTGCTTGACTGTTGAGTAAGGTGAAGGTATGAGATGATTTCAGGCCTTGATTCATGAACTTGTACTTGTGAGTGGCATGGTTTGGAGCTCCTCTTGGTAGAAACATTTATGTAAATAATCACTATTTTGTGTTTTGGGGTGGGAGAAAGTCAATTTTAAGGTAATATCACTTTAGTTAGGTTGTCACTCCCTGTCCCTAGAGAAAATCAGATTACACAGTCAGTTGGGAGTATTGGGGAGAATTTAATAAAGGGATTGTTTAAAAGGTGTGGGCAGGGTTCAGAAAAATCTAGGGATGACAAAGCATCCTGGGACTAATGACAGCAGAGAGATATTGCCGTTCCTAGGCCTGAAGGGACAGGGACTTTTGTGTGGCCCTTGATAATGGGATCTTTCTTGAAGTGAAAGTCATGGGGAGGTGGGTATGGAAATAAATACCCTGCCATCCAGTTTCCTGCTGCTTTCATTGGTTGATCCCAATCAGAAGCCAAAAGGAAAAAAGGAGCCTACTGATGATGAAATATATCTTGTTCCGCCTCCTGTGTCATGTAAGAGGGTGTAGAAGATGGAGTGGGGACCTGAAGGGCAAACCAAACATACATTCAGCATCACTACTGACCACAGGGGCAATATGGTAGGGTCAAAAATGGTACCAGAATCATGGTTATGTAAGAAAGTAACACTGGACAGGGTTGGGTGAAGTTTATATAAGAACTCTATACTATTTTTGCAACTTACCTGAAAATCTAAAATCATGTCAAAATAAAAAGTGTGGGTATCCCTGAGAATGAACTGCATTTGTACATTCTGTAATTTCTTATCTGGTAAGGAACATTTTCTAGCTATTTGATTATAAAATATCATCAAAGTATTATTTGGAAGAACTGGGTGAACAAATATAAAGAAATGTCAGTGTATATTAAACCAGGACACTGTCTACAAATGATTTAGAAATGAAAAAAAAAAAAGAAAACTAAGTGATCTTCCTGCTAGCTTCTATGCCACCAGCTCTGTTCATCACTGTTTCCTTCCTTCCTTGATGATGCTGATAAAAGTAGAATGAGTGGTTGTTGCGGGGGACAGGGGGTGGGATGGGGGTAAATAAGACATATTTCACTAGGAGAGAAGGACAAGACACTGGCGTGTAGCTATAGTGGTAAGTCTTTTAGAAACGTTTTAAAAGGAGAATCAAATCATAAATGAATCACATTCATATGTGGTCTTGATTTACATGACAGTGATATTCAAAATATTTAGTACCTTCATGGCCTGGCACACAGTTAATGCTCAATATGTGTTGTTTCTTGAACAACAGTATTATTAACATTCGATAAATACTTTTTTAGCCCATACTAAATGCTGGGCTACAATGGTGTGTAAGACCAAAGTGATTTCAGCCCTCAAGGAGATTAAATGTTGCTGAGGAAAGGCCAAAAAAAATTAAAGACAAATTAATAAATTACAAATTGTGGCATATACTTTGAAGGAAACAAAGAAACAAAAAAAATTTGCCAAGACAGGGGAAAACACCCCCTAGGGAAATTTACTTGGTATCTTTGAGAACTATTCCCTTCTTTTGTAAATTGTTACATACACTAGTGAGGGTTTAAAACTACCAAATTAGATACAATTGAGTTACCCTGTTTATCTTAAAAACTCATTAAGCTACAAGAAATGAAAGTAACAGGGTTACTAAAGATTTTTTTTCTGTGCACACTTATCTACAACTTTGTTTCAGTTAGTTAAAGAAATCATTGGTAAAATGATAAACTTTTCTTAACTCTAGTTATAAAGTAACATTCCATGACTTATAGCAGCAACATGTTATAAATTTTAGTGACATTCTATACTGAGCTTGATGGTTGTTCAGGGGGGAAAAAAGCCATTTGATAGTCTTTTTTTTGGCTGCACTATGCGGCATGAGGATCTTAATTGCCTGACCAGGGATCAAAACTGCACCCCCTGCAGTGGAAGCATGGAGTCTTAACCACTGGACCGCCAGGGAAGTCCCTTGATAGTCTTACATAGTCCCAGGCAAAGAATCCCAGACTTCTGAATATAACAGACCATGGGGGCAGTTGGGGGTGGGGGGCGAGGCAGGGAGATTCAGAGTGGTGAGAGCATCC